GTTTGTTTTGGTTTTTTGAGACCGGCTGTCACTCTGTAATTCAGGCTGGTCTTAAATTCACTATGTAGCTGAGGCTGACCTTGAACTTGCTGTCAGCAGTTGAGAAAGTTGGGTACTGGCCAATAGACCTAACTCATATGTCACTTCATTCCCAAAGCCTCTCCTAATTCACCCAGTGTTCTGGCTTCTCTGTTCCCATAGCACTTACATTATACTGTTATTACCATGTTCAATTAAAAGAGACCCTCATAGCATTTATTCTGAAGTATTTATTGAACACTTGCTACATGCCAAGAACTGCCTGGATCCTGGAGATAACACTAACAAACAAAAGAGACACAATTTCCTGCCCTCAACAAATAGAGCAATTCAAAGAGAGGAAGCCTGCAGCAAACATTAACCTGGCCTTTTCCTCCAGACTTTTGCCAGATGTTGAACCTACCTGGGATGGGACACCAAAGGGCTATGATTATAATGTCCAAAATGTAGAACTAGGGAGGGGCTGGTAATTAACATAATAAATAAGAAAATTGTGTAGTATATCCGTAACAAATAATGATATGAAATTTAGGGTTGAAGACTGCACTTTTTAGTAAGATAGAGTTGTCTTCATTAAAAAGATAACATTTCAGCAAATGATGGACAGAGATAAAAGAGAGAAGAAATCACATGGGGGAGAAGAGAATTTCAGGCAGAGGTAAAACCTATGCAGAGTTCTTGAGATAGAAGTGTGCCTGCTGTGTCTGAGGAACAGGTGAGGAATCCTAGGAAGTCCCATATGGGGTGAGGTATAGGGTAGGTGAGGGGTAGGTGCAGATCCTGCAGGTTTAGATGACCATGGTTTTTGCTCTGAGTCAACAAGAAACCTTTTAAGTTGTGTAAGTAGAATAGTAACAATAAAGATGGTCATTCTGAATATTACAGTGAGAATGGACTAGTGGGAGAGGAACAGAAGCCAGTAGAGTAGTTAGGAGGTTCTTGGGAATAATTTGGGAAACATAGAAGTGGCATGGATCAAGATAATAGCAATAAAGAGGATGGGAAATGGGCTGGATTCTGGGTACATGTTGAAGGTAGAACCTGCAAGATTACTTGGCCAGTCCAATATGCTGCATGAAGAGAAAAGGGTCAGGAATTACAGGAGTTTGGGTTTCAGCACCTGAAAAGATAGTTTCCTTTAGCTCAGATGGGAGAGGACTGTAGGTGTAGACTACAGGGATGGGGGTAGGGGTATGAGACAGGACCATGAGTTTAGTTTTGCTATATTTAAAATTTACAACACCTCAAGGTATTCAGATGGAGACAGCAAGTAACAATGGGACAGGAATATGTAGTTGGGGGAGCAATTTCCAGTTGGATGTGTAGATTTGGGAAACATTATAATGGAGCCATTATTTGAAACCATGAGGCTGGATGAGACCACCAAGAAAATGAGTATGGATGGAAAAGAGAAGAAACCCAAAAACTAGGCCCCAAGAGGCCCCAGGAGGCTCCAGGAATAGTGTTAATATTGAAAAATTTTCCACTGCCAGGTAAAATTATAGTAGGCCCAAGCTCATCAACAGAGAGGGAAGATACGTTGCAAATCCGTGTTTTTAAGTCATCTGATCGCCATAGAAGCAACAAGAATTAGATGAACTAAAATTCCAGACAGTGAACCATTCCTAGATGAGCTGACAATCATTAGCTACTTTCTTCTCAGGAGACCTCTGTCAGTTCTGGGAACAAGCTAAGGATGAGGCTGGGCCCAAACAGATTGTTCTGGGTTGAAGAAAAATCCACTGAGGCTGCTGCTGATGTTCTGGGTTGAAGAAAAATCCACTGAGGCTGCTGATGATCGTATATGCAGGGCTGAAATGATGGAAGCTGAAGGAATCCCCAAACCAAGAGGATTTCTCTTAGAGACTTACTGAATTTGGAAGTAGCCCAGGAAGCTAGGGGCTCCACTAGAAGACAGGTTGAAATCTCACAGTCTCACAGTGGTAATGTCACAAAATTCACTAAAAGACAAAGTGAGCTCAAGGCCAGCCTGAACTGCATTGGGCGACCCTGTCTCAAAAAGAAAAAAAAAGAGAGATTGAAAAGGCAGGGCATAAACTGGTACAAAATGTTGGTGGTCTATATATCTGACTTACCTAATATATAAAGAGCTTCAAATAACAAAGCATAATCTCTAAAGTAGTCAGCTTGAATAGGAAGTTCACACACACAAAAAAATACCCACTGGCTAGTAATCATACAAAAAGTTGTTCATTCTCAGTTGCCATGGAAATGGGAATTAAAGAGATGATACTATATATCCACTAGAAAGGCTAATGTGTTAAGGACATCACATCACCTAGAACTTCCTTATATTGCTGGTAAGTATAAGAATTGTTACAGTGAAAATACTGCATGGTACTTAAAAATGAATAGCCCACTCTGTGGTTTCGGGTACTTGAAGCCTAGTAATAGACAAAACCGTGATGGTAGAAGTCTCTATAATGATTGCTGCCAGTGGGCACTAAAGAGTCTTCCAGAATTTTGGAAAGATTTTATAACTTGATCTCAGTAGTAGTGGTGTAAATGTGTATGTATATAAAAATGTATCACATTGTACACCTGAGATTTATGCACTCTCTAATATGCCACATCTCAGTGAGCATTGTTACCTCATTATAGTTCCTTGATGATGAAGACTGTGTGTGAGTATGTGTGTGCGTGCACCTGTAATTTATTTATGCAAGACCAGTACATAAATATCAGAAGTACCCAGTAAGTAATGTTGAATGGAGATTTGGGAAAGAAATGAGTTCATTTTGCTTCTGTTCACTTGGTACCTATTTCTTTGCTCACTGTCCATTTGGAATAGTCAAGTGAAAGTACACCTAACTTTAGTCCTCTGCACTTGTAGTCCACATGTGACATGTGACATGTCTGGGTGTATAGAGAAAGAAGAGACTTTTTGATACAGATCTGTGTGACATAGATCAAGAATAATAACTGTCTCCAGCCTATGGCCTCAAGACAGTTTTATTCTTATTTCATCAATATATTTCCTTGTATGTGTTTTCCTTTTCCTTGTTATTTAGCATTCCATAAATATCCACTGAGTACTTATTTTTGCCTTACATTTTCTAGGCAGGTAGCTCTATCAGTGACTCAAACAAAAAGGGATCCTTGTCCTCAAAGATCTACATGTAAAAGTTCAAAACAGGCTATAAACAAAACCAGATTCCTCCTTCTTTCCTTGCCTTTCTTTGCTTAAGGATCAAGCAAAACAAATACTTAGGCAGAAAAACAGGAGCTTGTGTTTCTGTCCCTTGTTTTAAGTACAGTTCAGTTGCCTTGCTGATCAGTGAAAAAGGACTTGTGTCAGTTTGGATTAATTTGGGCATGACACCTAGCGTAATGCTATGTGTCTGGGGAGGGTACTAAATATCTGTAACCTTTGAGAGCATCTGTCTGTGCCTGCTTGCTGATTTCTATAATTCTTTGCTGCCATATGCCTGCCTTGTCTTTTTTTTTTTTTTACTGTCATCACTTTTCTGAGAAAAGTTAATTTAAGTTATCAAATTACATTAATGCTTTCTGTAATGCTGTAGCTTTGGGACAGTTGAGCCTTAGAATAAGTCTACCAAAAGTGATAGTGCCATATGGATTGTACTGTGGAATATTCCAGCCAGGAGTCTAGAGTAGTAAGGTTAGCAGCGGAGGTTGTTGTGATGAGCATTTGTTTCATATATTAAGTCTTACATTGTGATAGGTCTGCAAAGGTCATAGTGCATGTGAAACTACCAAAATGAAGCTGCTCAAGGTCTTGGAAGGAATGTTAAACATTCAGTGTTTTGATTCAGTGCATCCTTTTTGAAGTTTATCTTTTAATGAAGATTTTTTAATGATAAATACTCTGTACATGGGGATTTTTAGAAGAAGCCTAGAAATTTTGGTGTGTATCTGGGGTAGGTACTCGTTTTCTGTTGAGATGAGATTTGCATTTAGAGGATGATGGGTGAAACACAAAGTCACTTCCAGATACAGAGAGGAAAGATGATACAGTTTGGTAGATCCTAGTTATACTTTGTTTTTGCATAGTGCTTACTGTTCGCAAAATGTTTTCACATAATCATTTTATCCTCCTGGTAACCTAGGTTATTTTTTCCTACTGTTCCAACTGCTATCAGGAAACTAAGAGATATCAGTTGACTTGCCCAAAGAGCTGGTGTGTGTTAGAATTGGGACTTTCTGATTATAAGGTACATGGCTTCTTTTCCGTTACAGCTTTGTGAAAATTTTCTGCAGCAACTGTAGGAAGTAGCTGCAGAAGAAGGGAAGTTCCAGGCCAGTTTTAATGGTGATTAAGGTAAATTTGAAATTCAGTCTGAAAAGAAGAATAGTTTCTCTGCCCAAGAGACGGGTATACCCTGAGATTAGAACATACTTCTTTGAATTCTAGCTTTGTAAAATGTCTGTAATCTTTTGACTCTGGGCTGATGGGAGAGGTGCTTCAGTAGTCAGAGGTAGACTTTGGAATGAAATAGTACAGGTTGAACATCCCTAATCCAAAATTGCCAAATCCAGAATGCTGTGAAATCTGAAAATTTTTGAGCACCAACGTGATTCTCAGCAATTTTTGTTTTTGTTTTGTTTTTTTGTTTTTTTGTTTTTGAGACAAGGTCTTGCTCTGCAGTTCAGGCTGTCCTTGAATTCACTTTGTAACCCAGGCTGACCTTAAACTCTCAGCGATCCTCCTTCCTCAGCCTCATGAGTACTACGATTACAGGGATGCACTGCCATACCCAGCTTCTCAGTAGTTTTGAATTTCAAATTTTAAGATTAGGGAACTTAGTTGGCAGTTTGTACAAATACTCCAAGGTCTGAGAAGCTCTGAAATCTCAAACACTTTGGGCCTTGAGCATTTCAGATAAAGGATACTCAGCCTATACTTCTTACAGAAATACTCATTTAGATTCCAAGTATTTCTTAGATTAACAATAATTTTCTTTTTAATCTGTTTCCAGGAGCCTCCAGAAGATGATGCAAACATCATCGAGAAGATATTGGCATCTAAGACCGTCCAAGAGGTTAGTGACTCCTGTTTCTAGCTTTATGTCACTAGCACAGATTATGCTCTCTGTAAAGAAATACTTAGCTAGGGAATCTGGAAGTCATTCCTGGGCGGAATGAAAGTTTGGCAGTAGTGTTGTCTGGTTACTCAACACTTATTTTTACCCCCATGAAAGATTTTAGGACATAAAATTATTAAATATATAGAATGGCTCAAATTTATAGTTTTCTCCATTGTTATTCGAACCACAGGCATTTTTACCCGAGTTTTGTTTTCTGTTTTGTGGTTTGTTGTTTTTTTTTGTTTTTGTTTTTGTTTTTTAGCTAATTAAAAGTTACCAGTGGCTGAAAACAAAAGGGAAAGGAGTCGTAATGGAAATGTATTGGTATTTATGTTTATTCAGACATATCAAAGCTGTGGTAGAACTCCTCTAGACAAAACTTTCTGAGTGAGAGAGCATGTTGTCACTGGTGAGAGCATAGCTTTATTTTTCCTTCTGTATTTATGAACGTAAACTTCCTTGCTGTTGCTTTGTGGGAGTGGTGTGGGGGATGCCAGCCGTGAATGAAGGCACCTTTGCACCAAGCTGCTTTCTTGACATTTCTCAGAGCCCTGGATCAGTCTGGGTTTGCAGCTAATAACGGTCTCCACCTGAATGCTATCTTCTTCTAAGTGACCAAGAAGATCTTTTTTTTTTCTTTTTTAGTTTAACATATAACAAATAATTCTGTATTTGGCCTTGGGAAAACCCAGCTAATAGCTTGTAAGGAAAAGGTCTAGGAAAATGAAAATGTCCTTAAGAAACTTTATTTAAACTAGGCCAAGGTGTTGGTTTACCTGTTTTCTTCTGGTTTGGAAGGGTGATTTGCCGGGATCTGTGCTGATAACAGGTTACTGTTTATTACAGGTTCACCCAGGAGAACCTCCATTTGACCTAGAGCTATTCTACGTTAAGTATAGAAATTTGTACGTCTATTTAATATATATTTGGATTTTATTTGAATAAAAATTCCTTTCCCTTGACACTTTATTCTCTTTCTTCTGTATTTTTAGAAACTAGCCCCTAAGGCATAACCCACAGATTTTGGCTGAATCCAGTTCTTCTGAGGGAATAGTGTTTAATTTTGGCTGCACATAGACTCCCTTGGAAGGCGTTTTAAAACTGCTGAAGTCCCTCTTCCACCCAAAACCAGTTGACTCAGACTCAGAATGGGCCCTAAAGAGTGATATTTAAAAAAGAAAATCTCCCTGAACAATTCTCATGTGCACCTAGGGTAGAAAACTGTTGTCATACAGTGTATGCCCTTTTCCCATATGCATTTTTCTCCCTTTCTGCTACCTATACATTTTCACTAGTGTGCATTTGGTAGCCTGCCCACATCTGAGCATCCTTCTACTTTGAGCCAGTTTCTGTAGAAGGTGCAGAGAGATCAGTCCCTTGGAATTACACTATTTTGTGGAGTTTTCTGTTGTGCTCCTTAAGGCCAAGGCCTTTCTAAGCACACTCTTAACAGTTTCACAGCAGAATAGTCTGCTGCCTCTGTGTAAGATTGTCACCTGTTTATTGAAATCTTAAAGCTCAGTCATTTGCTAGCTGTGTGTCTCACAATTTGTGTGTCTTTGGATAGTTCCTACTTACATTGTAAATGGGCTACAATGGAAGAGCTGGAAAAGGATCCTCGCATCGCACAGAAGATCAAGCGATTTAGAAATAAACAAGCGCAGATGAAGCACATTTTTACTGAGGTGAAGCAAAATTTACTGACTCACTTGACTGCTGCTCTTTTTGCAGCATTAAATACTGGGTTGACTTTTCAGTTCAAGTTGAAGTCCTATACAGATCTGTTGTTCAAGTCAAATTATGTACTACTTTATGTGCACTATTTACTTCTGGATAGGAGTACAGCTGGGTCTGACCTGTCGGAAGAGTAGTACAGCGAGAGGCATCAAATGTTGCAGAGCCTACCTACCCCTTGCCCTGAAATTCTGTCATTTATTTTAATGAAATTATCAAGTCTGCACAAAGATTTAGTTATGATAAAGGGTTGTTTATATTTGATGAAGAATTGGAAGCAAACAATGTTAGGTAATAGGCATTTATTTTTTAATTTTTATTTTTAGTAGTACATGTTTGTACTACATAATGATTGCATTCATCATGGGGAGCTGGTATGTGTACATAACTCATCTCAGTTCTTTTTATGTCTCCTTCCTTTTACCCCCTGTCTTCATCTTTTGGTCTCTTCCCATTTGCAAATGATCTGTTTCCTTGTCTCCTGCTGTCTTTTATTTGCTCTTTAATTTATTTATACTTTGGATTCTTCTCTTTTCTTTTTTCTTTTCTTTTCTTTTGAGACATGGTCTTGCTATGCAGTGGCCTTGAACTCACTAAGTAACCCAGGCTGGTCTCAAACTTGAGGCGATCCTCGTGCCCCAGCCTCCCAAATGCTGGGATTACAGGCATGTGCTGCCATACCTGGTTTGGATTTTTCATATAAGAAAAACCATGCTTGTGTGGTTGTTTTATTTCCCTTAAAATTATGGTCTCACAATTATCATTCATAATCACTGTAAATACATCCTGGAGAATGGAATACTGTACATCTAGTTAAGAATACTGGAGGAAAATTATTAGTGACTTGGAAATATGCTTGGTGTAACAAACTGTTGTTAGTGGGAAATATTAGGCTGCAGTGTTATATGGGAAAGTTCCATTTGGGTTGAGTAGGAAAAAAAGAAGCACTATCATAGTGCGTGGAAAATGTTTTGAGTAAACGTATGAAAATATTGGCACTATTTTCTGTGGTTGTTGGGATTATGGTAAATTCTGTTTTCTTCTTTTTTACGTATAGTTTTCACTTTTGAATCATGTTTGAAGAAAAGAAGCAGCCACACTTACTCTTACAATATAAAGTCATTAATACTAGACCCTAATGATTATGCTCAGATGTAACTAAATTATAGTAAGTTGCTGTGCACACTTAACGCAATTTATTCACATTATGCTGTTTCCTCAAGTGATAAAGGTTACTTTAAAATAATGTCAATAAATATTCTCCTTATCCCAGTTTAGGATCTTCCCTATTTAAGCTTAAAGTTTGGTCCCTGCCCTCTCCGTAATTGTATTAAAACATATGAGAACTGGTTTTCATAACAGTATTCATTTAATAGGGACTTTTTGAAAGGATGGTGACAATTAGAACCATTCTTTTTTGAGACAGGGTCCAACTCTGTAATTCAGAGTGGACTTGAAGTCGCTAGGTAGCCCAAGCTGGCCTCAAACTCCAGGCAGTCCTCCTGCTCGGCCTCCCAGGTGCTGGGATTACAGGCGTATACCACCATGCCTGACAGAAGCATTCTTGAAACCCTATTGGTTATTCTCACTATTTCTTAGAACATTTTAATCACACTCATTTCTTAACAAGTATTTGCAATGTAATAAATTATTCACATGACAAGTTCTTCTGTTTTAAGCCCTGCAAGGTATATGGTCCATGTCTTCTTTGTATTTTTATCCCTAATACCAGGCACAGAGTCAGTGCCCAATAGTTATTTAGCGGTCCCCAGGTAAGGGAGGAAGGTTTGCCTTGCACCACTCTCCTGTTTCAGACTCTTCAGCACTTACCATTTTTTTTTGGAATAACATCCAAATTCTGTAATACAACCTACACAGCCTTGTGTGTCTGCTTGTTTATGTATTCTCAAGGGAGGTTTTTCCTTGCTTGGGGACAGAGAAGAAACTGTGAGGGGGTCTAGAAATAATGTAACAGGAGTTCACACTACAGTGAGACGAGAAAGTATCTGAGAAGATTAGAGTATGTCATGGAATTAAGGATGAATGATAGAGGAGAGTAGTTCTATAACAGTATCTGTGATCTCAACATGGTTGACATTTTTGTGTAATTTTTGAGTAGAGCATCTTAATGGCCACTATTTCCAACTGCTTTATGAGGTAGCCAAGGAGCATATGAGGAGGATCTAGCACAAGAGGCTGCAGGTTCCTACCAGCGTAGAGGTAGGGGTCTTCCAACTCAAAATCCCAACTCCTGAAAACCCAGACTTTACAACCATTTCCGTGAGGGGAGAGCAAGTGACGAAATCAAGGTTCAGGTTTGCCTGGCAGGCTAGCATAAGTAAAACAGGGAAATAAATGTAATGTCTTACAGTAGTATTTTAAGAAATTTTATAATTTTGAAATGGAAAAAAAGTGATAGCAGTTCTAGGGAGAAAGAGTACAGCCGTTGTATTTTCCTGTAAGTTTACTGTCAGCAGTCACACAAATCCTAGCCCGCATCACTAGAAGAGTCCTTCTGCGCCTTGCTGTTTTCATGCCTCAGTGTGTCATTCATCTGAGTACTAGGACCTGTTGAGGACTTTGAAAAACCTAAGGGCAGCCTCCAGAGGACTACAGTGGTGGTAGAGGGATGGAAGCAAAGTTGAGCGAGTAAGAACAGAAGTGGAAAGTGGACTGCATGATGGTAGAGCCTGGGCTCTGTTATCAAACTCCTGAGACTTCCTCCCAGCACACACACTTACGCGCAGCTGGGAGCTTGAGCCGTCTGCATAAACTCCTTTCAACTCAGCATCTTTGTATGTGTAAAGTGGGACTCCTTATTCATAGATATCAGCCTTGCAGATATCTATGAATAAGTGCATGGTGCTGCTTAGTGTTTTTCAGCTTTATTGAGGTATAATTGACAAAAACTGTGTATAGTTAAAAAAGTGTACAACTTGATGTTTTGATGAAGTAATTGCCATAGTGAAGCTAGTTAGCATATTCATTACCTCACATAATTACCATTTACTGACCCCCCTGCCAAACTGAAGGTCTCTCCTCTAGGCAGATTTCAAGTATATAATACAACATTTTTCATTATTGTCACTATGCTGTACTTTGGATCTTCAGAATGTTTGTCTACATTACTGAAATGGTGACATTTGACCAATATCTGTCCTTCTCCTCTGCCCATGGAAGCCACCATTATACTTTCCTTCTGTGAGTTTGATATATTCCACACATAAGTGGGATCATGTAGTTTTTGTCTTCCTGTGTCTGGCACATTGCATTTAGCATGGTGTTGTCCATATTCATGCTGCTGGAAAAAATAAAATTTTCTTCTTTTATGAAGGCTGAGTAATATTCCCTTGTGTATATATATAAACCATACTTTATTTATTATGAGTAAACACTTAGCTTGTTTCCATATCTTGGCTGTTGTGGACAGTAAGTGGCACAGTGGATATAGAGGGGTTTAACACGGTTCCTGACCCATAGTTACTATAAATATTCCATAAATATTAATTCTTTATGTCAGTCAGAGGGCAGGCAATAGAACATGTGTAGAACAGTTGGACAACCTGGCTTTTTTTTTTTTTAACTAGGTAGGGAAAGATGTTTTAAGAGCCAGCACAGTGGAGAGAATCAGATTAGTGGTGCTCTGGTTCACGAACGTAATTCTTTCCATGATTGTGGTCACAAACCGGATTGAATAGGAACTGAATCAAATTTTGCAGAAGGTCAACATTTAACCTAACTATTGAGTTTGATTTGGTTCTCGTCCAATTCAGTTTGTGACCAGAATCATGGAAAGAATTAAGTTTGTGAACCGAGGTACCACTGTGCTTGCTGCTTCTGTAGAGGAATCAGTTCACATTAGTGTTCGTTACAAGGAAGGAAGTTAAACTATGGTTTAACGAATGAGGATGAAGACTGATACTACTAAACAGAGAGGTAAAGCTGTTTCGGCAATGGATCAAGGTAGTAAATTTTTTAACAGTAGCAATTGAACTTGAGGTTTGCCAGGAATGCTGTACAAAGTATTTCTGCACTGATTAGACTGTGAAACTGGATACCCTTAAAGTGCCTTCCAGCCTACGAGGCAATAAGAACATTCCAGTGGTCCGGGATTAGGATCTATAGGTAAGAAATACCTGAGTGATCATTCGGTTTACACAGCTCTGTGACCTTGGTCATAATACTTAACCTCTTTGATTCATTTCCCTCACCCATAAAGTAATTTTAGCATTTACTGACTATAATGTAGCTTTGAGCATAAGTAAAAACACACAGCATAACACTGGACATTGATTAAATATTCCTAAGTGTTGCTTATTGTTGATTTGTAAGTAAACATTTTTGAAGCATAATAAACGTAAAGTAAATAAATTATAAGTATTCATCTCAGTGAATTTTTACAAAAGTAAACTTTTGTAACTACTACCTAAATCAAGAAATATAATTTTTCCAGTAGCCAGTGCACTCCCTTTATGCCCCTTTTAATGTTAGCTCTCATCCTTATTAAGAAAAAGAAACTTAATTCCAAGTTGGCAAGGAAACCAAGGACCGGTAACACAAAAGGAGCCCTTGTGATTTTTCTACATTGTTATAATGACCAACAGGAAAGTTTTGCCTGGCTGTGGTGCACCGTCTAAGATAGTTGAATCCTTTAAATTTAATCATGGAAACCAGAATTTAGGGACAGTGAAGAAGTTGTCTGTGAAGTGACTTTTTCTCAAGCAGTCTTTATTGGTATGTTTGTTTGGTTGGTTGGTTTTGGCTTTGGCTTTTTGAGATATCCTCTTGCTGCATAGTTCAAACTGGCCTTGATCTCGCTACAGTAGCCTAGGCGGGCCTCGAACTCCTGGTGGTCCTCCTGTCTCAGCCCCCCAACTGCTGGGATTATAGGTGTGCGTCACCCTGCCCATTGTTTTCTGATACGGTCCAGGGTACCACTTAAAACGCTGGGTTTTAGATTTGAGGGAGAGTAGGTACACTTCTTAACTATCCTTTTCTATTTGTGTTAGCCTGATGAAGATTTGTTCAACCCAGACTATGTAGAAGTCGATCGCATCTTAGAAGTGGCCCACACTAAGGATGCAGAAACAGGGGAGGTGGGTGTGTTGCCATTTGCCTCTCCTAAAGCACTGTCCTTTTTTCCATGTGTTTTGCTTGTTTGGTTAATGTGTGGTGTGAAATGATATCCACATTTTGTCACAAAGGGTAGATTCAGTGGTTGGCAGCGTGTGTTTGACACCTTTGAACCAGCAGAAAGAACACTTAAGTTTCTCTCGTTTCCCACTAGGAAGTAACACATTACCTGGTGAAGTGGTGTTCCCTGCCATATGAAGAAAGCACGTGGGAGCTAGAGGAAGATGTGGATCCTGCAAAAGTTAAGGAATTTGAGTCTCTGCAGGTTCTGCCTGAAATTAAGCATGTGGTAACGTATCCAGATCTCTGTCCGATGCCTGCTATAACATGTAATTTTATGAACCTATGTTGCCCATGTGGCTGTGCGCCTGTGATTTCTATGGTATCTTTGTCATTCTCCACATTGAGCCTGCATTCAGGGCCTTTTTCTCCCCAAATCACACCTTCCCTGCACATTGGTCATCTTCAGGGCTGGGCTTCATTTGAACATGGGCAACATTAAAGAAGCGTGGATGTGTGCTTAGATTTCTTAACGTGGGGCCGTCACGTGGAGTCAGTAGAGGGGGTGGAGGGAGTGCTGGGTGCAGAAGAAGCTCACTTGATAATGTCTTTCCAGCTTCCTCTTTTTTACCTCTTGCTCCCTCAGTGATCTGTGTTCTGTTTTTAACAGTAAAATAATGTACTGTAAATATTCAAATAGAAAATATAATAAAACAATATTTGATTAGTGATAAAGACAGTGCAGAAGAATGAAAGGTAAATAAGAGATTTGACAGTTGATACAAGGTATAGAAAAATGGTAGCTTTAAACCCCAATATAGTAGTAATTAAATAAATGCAAATTTCCCAAATAAATACAAAGATTTGCAAAGTAAATTTTTAAAAAATGATAAATACTACAGTGAGACTTCCAAATAAAATATAAAAAGAGACATACTGTGTGAACAATATACAAAAGAAATCTTTTTTTTTTTTTGTGAGGTAGGGTCTCACTGTGTGGTTCAGGCCGGCCTTGAGCTCACTTTGTAGTGATTATCCTGCCTCAGCCTCCCAAGTGCTGGGATTACAGGTGTGCACCACTACGCCTGGCTATACAAAAGAAATCTAACATAGTTGTATTAGTATCATACAAAGTAGACTTTAAGAGAAAAATATTGATAGATAGTAGGAAACAGGGAGATAGCTCTTTTGCAAATGAGATCCAAGAGATGGCGAGAGAGGGGAAGAAAAGGACATAAAAAGAATTAAGATATATTATGTAATATACTAACTCCCCTTGATGAATGTCATCATTGTGCACTAAAAGCATGTATTAATAAAAAAATTCTTTAAAGCAGAAACATTAGTAACAATAGGTAACATGTTTCAGTGTTAACATACTTAGAAATTTCTAGTAATCCTAAATTTGTAAGTATTCTTTAATGTTGCTTCAAAATATGAAGCAAAGCATGACAAGTAGAAAAAAAGAAATAGATAAATCCATAGTTTTAATTGGATGAATAATTGATAGAAAACTCCTATAAACATGAATAAATAACAAGTATGATTAGCACAGTTAACAAAAATCAATAAATATAAATAAATATTAATATGAATATAACACTGACACCAACAAATACATACAGAAATTTTTTTCAAGCATAGTCCTTCTTTTTATCCTTTTCACTCAATTGGATTTGGTTTTTCGGTTTTTCTCTGGTACTGGGAACTGAACTCATGACCTTGCGCTTGCCAGGCAGGCGCTTTTGCCGCTGAGCTAAATCCCCAGCCCCCTCACTCAATTGGAGTATTCTTAAGGGGAAGAACAGTCCTTTATCTGTAGATCACCAAAACCTCACTAAAAGAGCATAGGGTTTTTATAATGTAGTTTTATAAAAGCAGTTTTCTGATTCTGGATTGTTCATATACAGAGTATCAACAATTAAGGAGTAAGAGTTAAAAACATTTAAGTAACTTGGGAAGAGAAAATTGTTAATTTGGCTGTAAGCTGAAAAAGAGAAAATTGTTAATTGGCTGTAAGCTGGAATGATTAGTTTCTGTTTTAAAAGGTCAGACTTTAATATGAAAATCTGCTACCTAGTTCCTCACTGCTATTATTTGTCACTTTTACATCACTGGGAAGTTGGGACCCGGAAAACAGCCTCAGTGTTGGACTTGGATCCCTGTCAGAGTCCATTCAAAAACAGTGTTTTGTTTCTGGTTTTTTTGGCATGCGAAAAGTGTATAGAAGTATCTTGAGATATAGAACTGTGATTGGAACCTTACACGGATTAGTGTGTTGTCTCTATGACTGATCATTAAATCCCTTTTTTAACCTTTTCCTATGTGTACTGTTACCTGTTCTTAATTCAGTCTGTCAGTCATGTAGTAAGCGTCTGTGGGGGTGGATTCTGACATGAGTTATAATAAGAAACAAGGTGCAGGCCCTTTCCCCAGGAGCCCAGTCTAGCAGAAGAAATGTGTACGCGGACAAGGAAAGCAAAGGACTGGTGGTGGTATGTGGCATGATGCAGAGACAGGGAAGTGTGGGAGCAGAGAGGAGAGAGAATTCCATTCTGAAGCTAATTTAATTTACCATCCAGAAGTAATCAGAACCTTTACTCATTCTCTCAGCCCAACTCCCACTTGTTCCTCAGTCTCTCTGCCTTTGGCAGGAAAACGAATCCTCAAGTCTTTTCAGGTGATTTCACATTTCCTTTATTTCTTCGCAGTTGTGACACCATTGTCCTCCCCAGCCCTCTGAGTCACAGAATCTTTTCATATTTGTCTTTTTTTCTAATTTTTGTTCTTATTAAAAATGCACATTTTGAAATTTTACCTCAAAAATTCTGTGAAATGGTAGCTAAAAGTGTAACTAAGGCTGTCTTTCTTTATGTGTTAGGAAAAGGCTGATAAATGGTACTTCACCTAAGTTTGAGGATCTTATTCTGCATGTGGAAGTTCAGGATGACCTTTGCACTCTAGAGGAGTAGACCGTTCAGTATCTAAAATCACTCAAAGAGGAAAAACCTGGAGCAATGACCAGATCAGAGAGCAGTGTCTCCATATCACCGTGCTTCCAAGGCAGCAGATAGAAATCTGCGGTGAAATCACCCTATTGTGTGATGTCTGCAGTGCAGCAGGCTAGGAGCTTGAGTCCCTAGAGGCAAGGATGCTTCCAGAAAGTCTCTCTACCATGTCTAGTACAGTATGGAAGAATGCCCAATAGGCTGGGTGCTTGGGGCTTTAGAGATCTGGGCCAAATGCTTCCTGTAGGCTAATAAGCACAAGGTAATTTGTTTACGGGACCGGAACTGAACTTGTACAGGAATATCTTTGCTCAAAAGATACATTGTATTCCTTTTTTTTTCAGTGGTACTGGGGGTTGAACCCAGGGATACTTTACTACTAAGCCATACCCCCACTCTTTAAAAAAAATTCTCATAAGGAATGTAAACATTGTGTAGTATGCACATATGCTAATAAACTAAAATTTTAATTTTTTTTTTAAATTTTAAGACAAGTTCTCAATGTATTGCCCAGGCTTACCTCCAACTTGCTATCCTCCTGCATTAGCCTAGTAGTTGGGATTATAGCACAATGCAGGCTTTCCTCTCTTATTTCTAAAAATACCTGAAACTATGTGCTGGTAGTAATATTCAGCAGTGTTTCATTTCAGAGTGCATAGTTTAACTACAGCTAAAGCAGTTTTGAAGATAAGTTGTAATATGAGTTTTCTAAAAGACAATAGATAGCTTATACTCCTCTCCAAACATATGTATGTAATTAAGGATTTTTTTTTAAATCTCATCACATGAAAATGAATTAGCTTTGGTTGCTAGTTTATTTCATGTGTAAACATTATTGTAATAGGGCAGAGTAGAATAATTAAAGACTAAAATTTTGTGTAGGAGCTATAACCATTGGCGTAGTTAAGAATTTTAATTTTTAAGATCTTAAGTGTCAGTTTAGGGAATCAATTGGTCTATAAGCAAAATAGCCATGTCTGTTTCTAAATAATAATTTTCTTTTAAAATCCAATACAAAAGCATTAAATGGAAAAGCTCAGCTCAAGACTAAAAATTTCCCCCAAATTAATAAATTCATTGTAATTCTAATTGAAATTCCAATAGAAATTTAAGAGAAATTGACAAATTGATTCTGAAGTTATACAGAGCAGCTGGGCATGGTGGCACATACCTGTAATCCTAGCTTTTGGGAGGCTGAGACAAGACAATCAACATGTGTTTGAGACAAGCCTGGGTTACATAAGTGAGTTCAAGGCCAGCCTGCACTACCTCACATGACGCTGTCTCAGAAATACAAACAAACAAATAAGTAAAATTGTACAGAACAATAAATAAGATAGAAAAAGCATTTTGGAAGAATTTCCCATCAGATTATAGCTGTAGTAATTGAAAAGTGTGGCTTTATTGCAGACAAAAAAGGCATTTGAAAAGAAGGAAGAATCCACATACAGCTCCATGGATATATTAGAACTTAACATATAATTTGTGTTCAAATCAGCATAGAAAAAATTACTACTTTTAGGAGCTGGTGTTTCACATGAAAAAATAAAGTAAGACTGCCTCTACATGTTTTAAGAAGAATTTATGGAATTTGTAGTTTTGATTATACAAATTTTGGTTAGTATTTTCATACTTCAGAAACTAACCAAGACACTGTGCTTTCCTAAGCAGGTATGGTAGGCACAAAGAAATTCTGTTTATAAAAATCGAAAAATTTGACTAATAGTAGTTTGTGAGGGAAATTAAAGTGTGAGAGTGGCATCCAGGAATCTAAAGTAGCATGACACACTCACCAAGATTTCAGATAGGTCTGTTTTTCTTATCAATTACTTGCAGTCTTAACCTAGTAAAGTGTAGAAACTTACAGGGTCTGAACATTATTAAGAAAAGAACAACTTCAGTTTGAAATTAGCCTTAAGATAGTGTTTTGAGATTTACCCCTCACTGATAATTGTCTGTTACGCTGTTAACACCCTTCTCCATGTACTGTGCTTTTTGCTTCCTTCCCAGGAGCGGCCTGCATCAGACTCCTGGCAGAAACTTGACAAGTCTCGCGAGTATAAGAACAGTAACCAGCTCCGAGAGTACCAATTGGAAGGCATGAACTGGCTTCTTTTTAATTGGTATAACAGGTGAGGGACCAGAAACAGACTAGATCTTTATACCTGTAAGTATATTGTTGCCTAAGCCTGGCAAAAAAGTCTAACCAATTAGGCTCACCCTAGATGATTCTGTAGTGCTATTTTCTATTTCTGAGTTTTACTCCCATCACACTTCCCTGACTAAAAGGTAATGGATCTGGATTCTCAGGCTCCACTCTACTCGTATGTGAACCATGAATGTACTGGATTCATGCTATAGCAGTTAGTCTTGAACTCTTTGTATTCTGGTTTTGTCAGAATCTATTGAACCAGATGAAATTTGAGAAGACAGATTTTTCTCAACATTCTAAGTTATGCCACATAATAGTGACTTTAAGACTGTCTTATAAAGCACTTAGATGGGATTCTGGATGCCTTTGTTCTAACACAGTCACTGCCACTTAGGGAATATAATTCATTCAACCAGACCAGGTCTTAGATTGCCCATCTGAACAGGTAGGGAGTGAAACTAGATGGTGTTCACAGCCTTTCTAGGACTGTAGTTCTGGTGTGCTATCTGTGATTCTGGAGACCAACAGAGATCAGCCTTTTTACTGTGATAAGGGATTTATTATGTTGGTTAAAATCTTGTCCTTTTCTACCATACAAATGATAGCTGATAAGAATCATCTGACTTAGTATCTTTTTATTTTTACCTTGACTTTTTTTAGAGTGGAGGGTGGCTTTATTTTATTGGTACACTTTAGATATACATAATGATCACATTCATGTAGAGAATTTGCACCTGTACATGATATAGCTTGCTTTTTTTCCCCATCCCCCCCTCCTTCAGTCCTTCTCCTTATTTGCAAAAGCTTTGTTTCTATTTACTTCCTTCTGTTTTCTTTTGTTTGTTGTCCCTTCCTTCCTTTCCCCGCTCTCCTCCCTTGTTCTCCTTCCCATTTGAACATTTTCTTCCCATTTCCCAATACCTGGTACACATTTTGGTCCTTATTTATACTTTGAGTTTCTCACACTAGAGAAACAATGCAGTATTTAAACATGTGTGTCAAATTTATTTCACTTAAAGAGTATGGTCTCAAGATGCATCCATTTAGCTAGAAATGTCTCAAGCGTATCCTTCTTAATAGCAGAGCAGTACTCCATTGTATAAAAAAAAAAAAAAAAGAAAAGAACCACCTCTTCTTTATCCATTCATTGGTTGATGGGCTTTTGGGCTGCTTCTAAGATTTAGCTATTGCAGACTGTGCTGCTGTAAACATGGGTATGCATAAATCTCTGTGGTATGATGCTTTTGGGAAGTTACCAAGAATCAAGAAAGGGAATAGCTGGGTTAAATGGAACCTTTGGTTATAGTTTTTTTCTTTTTTTCTTTTTTTGGTTTTGGTTTTTCTCCGGAACCAGGAACTGAACTCACGACCTTGCGCTT